CTCAATTCGCTGGAGTAGCTTCTGTGGTGCTCAGACTCTACAGGTCTTCTGTTGTATCCTGGAAAGCAGATGCTCAAATTATACCTCAAGCACGTACGGTGAAAGGGCGAATCTGTTTTAAGAAAACTGTGTGTAACACAGGCCTCGGGTTAAAAATTCAATTTCGTATTATATATTATTGTTCTATATTATTGTAATTCTGTTTCTGAAATCAAAAATTCAGATTAATAAATTCAGTGTTGGTTTGTATTATTTCACTAGTTATCATATTTTCCAACAGCAAATACAAAAACACAAGCTCAATTTTATAGTTGCTGTCAACTTTAGGCGGAACCCATAAGATTGTACCAACGTTTTACTTGATGACCAAATCTTGTTATAGCCATTTCTCTATACTTTCAAATCATCCAAAATATGGGATTCCAATACATCAACTTTTAGGCTATGTTTGATATGCCACATTTTTCTTGGAAGTTGGAAAATAAATTCCTTTTCCTAGCATTTGAGTTGTTTGATTAGCCACATTTTCCCACCCATTTGTTTTCCTTATAGCTGCCTCACGCGCTGGAATTCCTTGAATTGTGGGAATTCATTTTCCCACTTCCATGTGGCTGCTGTGTCTTTATTTTTATTTTTATTTTTTTATAATGGAAACAAATTTCATAATCAAGTGTAAAAAAAAAATTCACTTTCATTGATAATCTTGATGCAAACAAAGGCCTACCGAACACTAAATTTTGATTAAAAATGATTTTTTAGGAAACATTTTTTTTCGTTTTTTTTCTTTTTGGCAATGGAAACAAATTTTATAATCAAGTATGGAAAAAATTATCACTTTAATGGACAATTTTGATGCAAATGAAGACCAAACGAACACAAAATTTAAAAATTTTCCGACTGAAAAATTTTACCAATCAAACACACTTAATCAACAATTCCCTGAAAAATAATTTCTAGAGAATTAGGCCTTATTCTCTTTGTCGTTTTCCAACCATTTTCTGTTTTTAGTTTCTCAAAACAACGAAAACTCGCTCTCTATCTTATTTTCCAAAACGCATTTTGGAAAATGCAAAAAAA